AATCGCTTTCTCTGTGTTTTCAGGGACTGCTTCGTTGTTATTTGAGTGATTTCTTCGCTTGTCACGGATGCAAACCGGCACGCCACTTTTTCTCGAGTTGCTCGAAGGTAAATAGCAAAGGATATTCAGAGTTTGACTAGCCAATCAGAGTGCGCCTTCAACGCTATCCACTGTTTTAGTATATACTAATACCTGCTATTCACCTCCATCGTTCCAATACCACTAGAAAAACCCCCCTTGGCTTCATACCTCCCTCCACATGATTAACGACGGGTCCCAAATTTCCCTTGAGTGAACTCCTCAACAATCCTTGATAAAGAGAAAGGGCTGGGAAATATACTAGCTGCTCTCCTTCCAGGCTTACTTTAGCTTAAGCTATACATCACATGTACAGAGAGGTTCCATGTACACACTCAAGTGGGTGGCAAAGGCTTTATAATTGACGCGTAATTGAGGCCAAAACTGATATGCGAATCCTAAATTATGAAGAAAGGTGAGCGTGATTCATGAATTTATGAACCAAAGCTAGATCACATCTGATATAAAAGAAGGTAACTTCGAAAAAATGTTTAGATAAGCTTTACAAATAGATACAAAAATATCCAGGTTATTGTAATCCACCTACATTAACATCGGGAATATTCTGTTAAGTTTACCAGTAAATTGTGCAAAGACTTCGCAATTCGCATTATTACAGTATAACGTGCAAATTTCGTGCAAATCTCAATGAAAAGTTAAAACTTTCTGAGAAAGATCCCTACAACCCTACATTTTACCATGCTAACTTAAAGAACCTTCGAAATAAAGAAAATGTTCTTTTTCTTTTAACTTACAAAAATTGGAAGAAATTGTGAACATTCTGTCTTGATTGGCTTTTTCGATCTTTCTTTAATAAAAGCTCTCCCATTCAGTTTGTCCAGCTGTAATATTTCAAGCTTCGTAGTATGAGGCCATATTCTCCCCTTTAACTGGGGTAAGCTGAATTCAGCGACATATGTAGCCACAATTTAACAAAAATATTGGCTACGGGTCGTTAAGTTTGTGATGCAACTATATTACTTCCAATTGAAGTCGAATTAAAAGAGTAGTGGAAAAACGCAAAACTGACTGGTATCAAGGGCAAAAGGTGCAACGATTTCTGGCGGGAACAAGTGAGACCTAAAATGGCTATATGCCCTGTTAAAAAAGCTGAGGGTCAAAATTAGAAGGGATGTGAAAGTAAATGAAGTCTCTATATGTAACGAGATCTCGAACGCCTTTAACGAATACTTTTTAGCTATAGGGTATAGAATAGCCCGTGAAATACCATTAGGTTCGGACGAGGAGTCTATTAATTTACTAAATAAAATTACTGAAAATTACAATAAATCTTGCTTTCGTCCAACAACTACCAGTGATGGCCTTACCCATCTAAATAGATTGTCTAAGACTAAAGCTAGGTTGCTTCGTGACTGTTCTGATATTATTTCAGGCCTCTTATGCGATCTGTTTAATAAATCTCTGACGGTCTAACATATTTCTTGACCACTGGAAATGTGCCAGAGTGACTCCTTTGTTTAAACAGGGTTATTCATCTGGTTTAAACAGCTACCTATCTCGCCAAAGTGTTCCGCGTGAGGATTGTGTACGATCAGTTACTGTTACTACACTTCTAGAGGCCACTAACAGTTGGGCGTTTAATATCGATCGTGGCTACGTCAATGCCGTAGTCTTTCGCGAATCAAAAAAGATGTTCGACACTGTTGATGATGAGCTGTTACTAACTAAAATGAATCGGTGTGGAATTCAGGGTAAACTCTTGATTGGCTTAAATCGTATTTGACGAATCACACATGCGCAGCGGTGCTCAGTTAATGGTGTTCTCTCTGACTTCACCACTCTTAAATATGGTTTGTCACAAGGAACGATCCTTAGCCCTCTTTTATTTGTAATCTATGGATGTACATCACTAGTTATTCATGAGTGCTGAGGCAGGAATGTAAATGCAAAAGCGCCGAATAAAACTGAGCGAAGAAAGGGCAAAAACTAAAGGAGTAGCATTGATAAAACTCCCTTTCCCGATTGTCAGTTTTTTCTCTTTTTTTTTTTTTTT